ACGCCTCCAACCACGCACGTGAGTACTGGCCGTGTCCTAGCCTGTCTGCTGCTTGGTTTGTCTCAAGCTGATGCTCTTAAGTTGAACAAACAAACAAACACACAGACAGACAAAAGAATTAATAAGCGAGCAAAGAAAGAAAGAAACAACAAACAAACAAACTAAACAGAGTGGGTGGTTGGCGGGTGCTCAGGTGTGGTTTGCTCCTTCTTTCCTATCAAACATCCATCGTCCTTATCTCTCCTCCTCCTTTTTTGTGGTGCATGTTACTCTCTTGTAACACACAATGTATTCTTCGGCATTTATGTGGCCTTATTGTGTTGAAAGTGCCGTAAAACTAAACTATACTGTCTTGTGACACCTGTAATCTTTTGTGTGGGTGGTTGGCGGGTGCTTTGGAGACATGACCATGCTGCTTTATCGCCTCTTTCGACCCGCAGTATCATGACAAGTTTTATTCTTTGCTCCCCCATCATTAAACTATGTATTGAATCCAACTTAGTCACATTGAGTAGAATCAAATAAAATAATATTTTTGTAACAAAGTCGATTCCTAACAAAATTAATCAAATGAATTCAGAACAAGTTGATTGGGATCTAATCAAAGAAAATCTGAATAAATGGATATGCATAAAATCGTACAAATGGAATCAAATAGATAGCATTGGCGCTCATATGACCTCATGCAGTTGCGATCGCCGTAAAACCTCCACTAAAACAAAACAAAATAGCATCAAATCACAGAAAATAAAAAAGTAGACAAGAGCAGTCAGAGTTGCTGCAAATGGCGTGAGCTGGTGGTTTAGTGGTCAGGCTAACAAACTTGTAATCGTGAGGTTGAGGGTTCGGGGATTAGAGCCTCAGGCACGACGTTGTGTCCTTGGGAAAGGCACTTTACATTAATTTTCCCATATTTCACCCACGTGTGAATGGATACCCAGACATAGACAGCGAAAAATCTTGTAAGTATGTTAGTGTTTTAGAGGCTATAAATGGCAGCTTGCCCTGCGTGTTTCCCAGGAAGTTGAGATTGTTTCAGAATGCTATCAGGTCTTGCTGGGGTAGTGATATAGATCTAGTTTGTAAAGCGCATCGACGTTGCTATTGAGCGGGAACTTGCGCTGTACAAATGGTATCTATTATACAAATGGTATCTATTTTTATTATTATTCCCCTTCCCCAGTGCAAGAGCGCGTGGAGGTGCTGATGGAGAAGCTAGGGGAGGCCACCAGCGTGGACAAAGGGCCGCTGCTCGAGTCCCAGGATTCCGCCGACTACACATCCAAGAACAAAAGTAAGTGCTCGTGTGTCTGTGTGGTGGTGGACGGGTTCTGACCCTGCCTGTCAGAGCCTACCCGGGTTGAGCTGATACAATATCTCAGCAGAAAGACCCGAGATACTGGATAAAAGTTTTCTCCCTACTTGGGATTCAAACTCAGGGTCTCGAAATGGAATACCTGAATATTGCTCTTGGTGGAGCGAGGCCCCCCCCCCCCCCCCAAAACAGGAATTCAGATGAAAAACCTTGGTGAGCACCTCTGGAAAAGGAGGCAGGGTTGAGGGTGAGGTGGTGGCGTGTGTGATAAGGGAGGTCACTGTGTGTTAAGAAAAAGATTGTAGCGAAGCTTTCCTGATTAGTCTCCCTTATTTTTCTTTTTGCTACTTTACTGTTCTTTTTTCCATTTAGTTTGGTGCTTTCATGTTCACTTGTGCCTCCTTGGTGGTCGCAGGGCACTATGGC